GAAAAGCTGGGAGGAACCAGTGTAGAGAACATGAGCTTTGGAACCAATACTATGAATCTAGAAGCTAAACTCGGCTATAGAGATTAGCCATAAGACCTTGAGCAAATAACTTATCTTCTTATTCTGTTTATTCATCATGAAAATAGTCTAATTTCTACCTTGAAGGGATTTTTCGAGGATTAAAACAGGCACTTAAGGTGTGAGAGCAACTATTGATACTATAAAGCAGTAGTTATTCAGTCTTCAACAACCTCTATGCTTAAGTAAGAGAAACTGGTCACTGGAACAGCAAATCATTCTGCTTTTAAACAAACATCCACAGTATGAATCCTACAGCTATCGCAGTGAATGCACAGACCTTCCTTTCACCTTTCTGGGGTCTTGAACCACTCCAAATGCCGGGGAGGGGTGAGTAGTAGATGTATGCAAATTCTGCACAAAATTTCAGGAAGTTAATGAACTCCTTAAAGACTACGTATGGACCTAAAAAGAACTTAAAAAATTCCAAATTTGAAGGGGGAAAAAAAAAAAAGGGAAGAAAGAAACTAATGTGGTAAATCTCATCTCCTCCTATCTTAATAATATGTATACAGATATAAATGAAAAGACTGAAGAAAATCATCTTTCCTGGTTTAGAGTCACACAGCTCTCCACTATACAGAAAAAAATCATTTCCTGTAATAGGAGCAAAAGCTCCAGCGATGTGCACTCAATCGGAAGTTCTGGTGGCAGCTACTATTTGTCACCTTTGCCACCACAGGAACACACAGGAAGGTTTTTCTTCTCAACCTGGCAACTAAAAGAAAAAAATCTAATTCTACCTTCCAAACAACTGACTTAATAAGGCAAGTTCATTTATTATTTAAATTTGAAGAACACTCTTTTGGTGTTTTGTTACTTCACTTAATGGCATCAAGAGTCATTCAAAACTTCCTTTCATTATACTCTAATTGCTTTCAAAATGTACTGGATGAAACACTGCTAAATGAAATGAAGTCAAAGTCTAAAATAAACAAAATAAAAAACATAGAACCTAAAAATAAATCAATCCAATTCTATTTAACATGCATCTAGGCAAGTTTCTAGTAAGCAGGAAATGCGTCTTAATCGTTAGATGTGTAACTGCTCAAGAAATACTTATCAAATGGATAAACAGATGAAATCCTGAGTTCCTAGAATAGGAATGACAATGAAGACAAATATTAATTACAGGTAACTAGCACACATAATGCCTGACACATAACAGATGTTAAAAAAATCTGTTGGCTAAACAAACCAATGAATGACCGAATGAACAAATAACAGGACAAATATGACTTAAAAGACTAAAATGTCTAGACAATCTAGGTTTCAAATTTTCTGCCACATTAACAAGTCCAATACTATAAACTGTTAGTTAAGCAAATGTAAAAGGGGAAAAGTACCAAAGACTGTTTAAAGCTTTCCAGCTTGACATAAATACATAAGGATGCTAAGAAGCTATACCAAGATTAATGAGTAACTTGCCCCAAATCATAGTGACCAATAGTTTGCGTCCTAATCGTTGAAACAGAAACTTGCCTCAAGCAATCCTGACAGTACAAAATTGAATCACAACAACAACAAAAAAAGTTATTAAAAACAATGCACATTTTTCACTTAGCAGTTTTCCAGACCTAAAGAAAATCGAAATACCAAATAGAAATGAAACTGCAAAGACAGAGGTCCAGAGCGATGCGGTTTACTCTACTTTCAGTGGCTTTTTTAAAGCAAAGCCACATAACAAAGTTAAATAAACAGAATATTACAATTCAATATATCAATAATGTTTCAACATTTTTATAATTGAGGACTAATTTTTTAATTTGTTTAGTTTGGACTTTAAAAACAAAGAAATCAGAAACTGATTTTAAAATCAAATCCAAAAGAAAGTAAAAGGTAATAATAAGGAACCGAGTATCTAAATTCTAAATGTGGTATGTCCATTAAATGAACCAAATTTTAACAGGTAGGTTAATATCAGAAGTACTGAGATGGATACTTTAGGCACCCTATCTTAAAATGTGTGTGAGTGATGAGACCAGAAGGGGATATAGGCACTGTCAACCATAATAATCTCTTAATAAAAACATAATATGAACCACATATATGATTAACTTGCACAGATAATATATTGATTTCTGACAAATTATCATGGGATTTTTATTATTTAATTGCATAATATTTCTCTTCTTAGAGTCTTTAATTATAAAATAAAATACCAGTTTTGCTTTTTCAATTAAGAAATGAAATCACTATCTACATTTACTCATTTGGTGCCAAAATTGTGAAAAATCATCCTCCACGTTGGAGAAAAAGTTGAAGCCAAGATGGGAGTACTCCACATTGGGTTACAAATCTGGGCATATGCTTTCTAGCGGGTATTTCTTGATGGACTGTATCTTACTCAGACAGTACTCCCCATTGGGTTACAAATCCAGGCATATGCTTTCTAGTGGGTATTTCCTGATGGACTGTATCTTA